GCGATCAAAAACATTATTCCAGCAAAAACTTAAGAAGCGTGTATGTGACACACACCCATGTATGTATAAACACACATACTTACCTGTGTGTTGAACTCCTAGAAACAGTGATTCCATGATGAAAGTATTTCTGGCTACATTTGTTTATCTCTCTGAGCCTTAGGTTTTTTTTCTTTAAATATAGGGATAATCATAACTGCTTCTATCTCAAGGAGATGTCAGAATTAAATCATAGGCCATATTTGAAAATGTCTAGTTCATGGGGGACATGTAATAAAGATTATTTACCCTGTCTTTTTTCTTGGCTCCATTCCTACCTATCACAAGCTAGCCTTATGCTATTCTCTTTGGAGGAGCCATAAGAAATAGATAGGATCATACCTGCTCTCAAGGACAATTTTTGGGGGAACCAACTTGCTAATAAATAGATTATTGTTATTAATAGATGATGATGATGATGATGATGATTAAAGGATTATTAATAAATAGAATATTTCTATTCTATTTGTCAGGTATAGCCAAACATTCACTTATGTGCTTCATGCTTTTGTTTATAAAGTAGAGGGTAAGAATCTTGAAAAGTGCTGATTGAGGTTTCCCCAAGGTTTATGCTGCTAGACTGTGACCAGCCAGAATTAGAGACAAGATCTTGAATGAGCCAGAAAATTCAGAATCCAGGTCACTGCTACGCTGGAGAGGTGCCCTGAATGCAGGAAATCCCCGAGGAACAATGATGGGCAGCAGGAGGGCAGGAAGAAGGACTGAGCACATGCTGGATCAAGGCTGTAGCAGGCGAGAGGAACCAGAAAAGTATACAAAGAGACGAATCTTCCATCTGAGCCCAAGCTCCAGGACCTTGAAGCTCACAGATGCTACTATGTACGCACTTGCCACACCCAGGTGCCAAGAACAGGATAGGTAAGGAGCACCATGCATGCCTCAATGACATGGACAGCAATATCCTGACCTTATGGAGCAAGCACTGAGCCAGGAGCCAGCACACCCAGCATCCAGCCCCTCTTCTACTTTACAGATCTATATAGTATTGGGCAAATAAATTTCTCCAGTGCCCTCCCTTGTAAAGTGGGGATGTTTGCGCTCTGTCATAGGTCATGTCAGAGCCAAAGGAAATAAATATGAACCACCATAGGTTAGTGGTCAAGGGTACAGACCTCCTGGATTCAAATCCCAGACCCACCGCTTACGCCAAAATACGATCTCAGCAAGTAGTTATTTTCAGAGTCCTCATCTGGAAAATGGAATAATAAGATGTCTTTCTCATAGAGTTGCAGTTTACCAGCAATACGCATGAAGTGTTTACAACAAAGCCAGACACGTAGTAAACACTCAGTAAACATAAAGTGAACTATGATTATTAACAAGAACGTGGCTTATGAACAGCTGATGTGGAAAGCACAAGGAAGTTGGCTTTAGCATCAGAGAGACAAAAGCTCTAATTCAGACTCCATTATGAGCTGGATGATTTGAAGCAAATCACTTAACTCCTCTTAAATATTGACTTTTAAAATTTGCACACTGGGCATGATAATTCACTGTTCAAAAGATTCTTATGAGGATTTGAAATAGCTTGTATCGAACAAATGGAATATAGTACATTTTCAATGAATGGTAATTATGATGTGTACATATAGGGTGACAGGCATATCTAGAAAGTCTTGTTATTAGAATTGCTGTTACTGGGGCGCCTGGGTGGCTTAGTCGGTTAAGCATCTGACTTTCGCCTAGGTCATGATCTCGCGGTTCGTGGGTTCGAGCCCCGCGTCGGGCTCTGTGCTGACTGCCAGCTCGGAGCCTGGAGCCTGTTTCAGTCTGTGACTCCCTCTCTCTCTGACCCTCCCCTGCTCACGCTGTCTCTCTCTCTCTCCCCTAGAAATAAATAAAAATAAAATAAAAAAAAAGAATTGCTGTTACTGTCAAGTTCTTTCCTAAGCAAGAGGTGACTTCCCAGATGCTAAGACAACGACTCTCTTGAGTTGTGAGCAAAGTGGGCCAGTGCACCTGGGAACCTTATTTCAAGCAAGCATAAATGCTCCTTCCTATAGAAAACATGATCAGAACAGAATGATTCACACAGTGCACTCAATCCCAGTGGTTTGCATTTATAGTGGCACTTTGCCCAGCCCTCTTTCTTCTCTGGTCGCATGTGTCAGTGACACCAACGGGAAGAACATGAAATGTCCTGGGAGACATGCCACAGGTAGCCTGAGGACATGAGCTCTGTGTTCTGTGGGACTCAGACCTCAACAACGCTGCCACTGTCCTTCCCAGAAAGGCTGGAAAGTGGCCACGGTCCAGCTGGACCCAACTTCCACAGAGTGGACCAAAGCGTTGCAAGTGGGCCAGGAGGAAGGCTGGAAGATGGGTTGTTGAGAATGTGACTGGCCGTGTGCTCTCACAGTGCCTTTCAAAGTGCTGGACTCCTTCCAGCCCCAAGGTTGCCAAACACCCCAAGGAGCAAGCAACACACTTCTAACTCCCAGTAGGAACTCCTGGCTCAGAGGGTCCACAAAGAAGAAAAAGGGCTCAGAATAAATAATTTCCTTGTATGCGTCAAGTACTTTATACCTTGACCCTATTTGGTCCCCACAACACCTATGTCCAATCATTACTCCATTTTACACAGTCTAATAGTGCATTGTAAACCTTCAACAAAGGTTAGCTATTACTATTTTTGTCATAGTTATTCTTATTATAAATGAAGAAAATGAGGCTCGTGGCCTTGAGGTAACTTGCCCATTGTCATATGGTTGTTAGTGACAAAAACCCAATTGTCTACCTCCAAAGTGTATGCACTTGACACCACAGCCTGCAGCCACTATGGCTTATTAGACACCTTCCTTCCACCAGGGTCCATGCTAGGTGATAGCAGAGAGACAGGAAGTGTCCACTTCCCCAAAACTGTAGTCAAGTGTTTTTCAAACTATGAGTCTAGGCCTTCAGTGGTTCATGAAACCCCTTTTGAGGTCATCACAAATGCTTTATTAATGATACAGAATAAAATTTAAGTAAAGAATACATCTTACATAATTCAACTAAGTATTAAATGATACTGTTGTAATCATGTATAAAAACATGTAAGTGTATTGCTGGATTATGATGTACAAAGTACATCTTGTAAAGATCATCGTCACAAATATTTGAAGGCCACCAATCTAGTGAGCATGCAAGCAGGAGATACAGAGATTTGTGTGGTACAATTTCCTGCTTGCTAGCTCTTCTCATTAGTCTCTTTGGGACTGTGTGGTGGTGCCCTTTGTGGGATTTCCAAAGGAAGGGAGAGATCATAATGGCCCATACCAAGAGAAGGGGGTCATTGGCTAGAACTTCATAGATCAGACTTCTGAAATCCACTGTGAACATCTCAATATAGGAAATCCAAGAGCATGAAATGAGTTGAATTTTGAATCAAGCTGGGATAAATCTAATTATTTTCATTTCACCTTTAACAAACATGATTTGAACCCCTGTGGGTACTGTTCACTGTATTAGGCACTGAAACAGGGGAAGGATTCCAAAAACAGGTACACTATTGTTCATCCCTTGTAGAGGGCACAGCTCCTTACACTACTCTGAACTGAACACTTTCTGTGTACTAGGATCTGAGCCAAGACCTAGGAAGATCAGAGCCAGGCCAAGCTATGCTGGAGCCTAAGGCCAAATGAATTTTAATATAAGTTTTTAATAGCTAATTTTTTCTAGAACACTAGAATGGTTGAAAAGTCAAAACACAGGAGTATTAAAACTCACAAAATTATTTTTAAAGTATTTTACTTATAACACAAACTGAATTATTATAATTTTACTTCCCTCATTTTATTTTTTTTCCTCCCTCCTTTTAGTGGAAGCAAACTCATCAATAACATTTCAAAATCAAATTCTTCCTTATCTCATTTTTTAAAGTTTATTTGTTTATTGCGAGGGAGAGAGCTTGAGCTTCAGCGGGAGAGGGGTACAGGGAGGGGGAGAGAAAGAATCCCAAGCAGACTCCATGTTGTGAGGGCAGAGCCCAACACTGGGCTCAAACTCAGGAACCATGAGATCATTACCTGAGCGGAAATCAAGAGTCAAATGATTAACTGGCTGAGCCACCCAGGCACTCCATTTATCTCATTTTCAATTGGAGGAATTTCCATGTTTGACAATTTCCCTTAACCAAGTGATGATCTTAAATAATTTTTAACTTCAAGTTACTAGTTGTCTTTATTTACAGTTTTGATATGTTCACCATGGGACGTTTGCACTAATTTTGATTTATTTCAAGTAATACATTAAAATATTACTTATCTTGGTTTTCTATATTGATTTTTTCCCCTCCTTCTAACAAATTTGGCACTCAAGCAAGAGCCTCACTCCGCTTACCCGAAATCCTAACACTAAAGGATACATAAATGAAACAGTTTGGAGTCCTTCTTTTTCAGCTTTTATAATCCAATGAGAAAGTCAAACAAGTAGATACATACTAACTAACACTTCTTGAGCATTTATTGACTGTTGTTCTAATTACTTCACATGTATTAATTCGTCTAGTCCTTCCAACAATCCTATAAGTAGATACTACTTATTATTCCCGTAAAAAAAAAAAAAAAAAAAAAAAAAAAAAAAAAAAAAAAACGGAGGAGCACTCAGGTGGCTCAGTTGGTTAATCATCCAACTCTTGATTTTGGCTCAGGTCATGATTTCAGTTTCATGAGTTTGAGCCCCACTCACTTGGGACTCTGTGCTGACAGCCCTGGAGGCTGCTTGGGATTCTCCCTCTCTCTCTCTCTCTCTCTCTCTGTCCCTCCCCAACTTGAGTGTTCTATGTCTCTCTCAAAAATCAATAAATAAACTTAAATAAATAAATAAATTTTAAAAGGAAACTTAGGCACAGAGCAGTTAAGAAACTATTCCAGGGTCACACAGGTCTAAGATATAAAGCCTAGGTTTGAACCCCGTCAGCCTGGCTCCAAAGCCTGAGCTGTTAACCACTGAGTACTCACTAGGTTAAGGCAGGTGGTTGTGGCTTTCCATTTAAAGAATCACTGCTCAGCTGAAGGAACAAAAGTAAACATGATATCAACATAAGGCTTTAAACTCAACTATTAAAAAAATAGAATAAAATGATTAATTATACTTTGAAAGCAGTGGGTAATCTACCCCCAGATAATTTTATTTCCTTCTCTCAAAAGAATGATCTTCTTTCCCTGAACCATATGCTTCTCATTCCCAAGGTGGCTAATAGCAACCCTCTACAGATGCGTAAAATTAATCATACGATTTCCTTAGGGTGGCAATGTAGTATCAAATTGGCAGTTCTTCCACAGTAAGTAGCCACACTGAATGAAACCCATAACATAGTATCATATTTCTTGAATATTTCATCTTATCAATTCATTCAACAAATATTTATGAAGCACCCAATTTGGTCATTTTCAGAATTCACAGTCTTATTTTTAAAGGAAATATAAAATGTCTTTAAAGTATCCATCTAGAAGTCTATTTTGCTCTGAATTTCTCTGAAGGGATCCCTAAGGAGGAAATAGTACTAATGGATGAAGCAATATCCTCAAATATAAAACTGTATATAACTCACATATGTATTATAGTTTATAGGTTACAAAGTGCTTTCATGTGCATTATTTCCTTTGCTATTCATCCTCTAGAATGTCCCAAGAGATAAGTAAAATTAAAATAACACTAATTTAAAATACTCTAATTAAAGAAACCTAAAGTGGTAAGTAAGCATTAGCAATAGATAAACTCTAATTGTTACCCCATTGAGTAAGAGGGTTTTAAAAAAATAGGTCAGATATAATACTTTCCCTGATTAAGAAAGGAAGCCAAAATGCTTATGCCCTACCAATAACCACTTGGGTGATGTCAAGTGAAGTCGTTAGATTCTGTATTTCAGTTTCCTTACCAATAAAGTAAGTGTTCAATCACATGCCAGTTCATCTCAGAGAGTGATTGTGGCGATTGATGATGCATCCCTCAAGTACAGAGATCGGTCATCTTTACATTTCTGCAGTTCCCAGGCTTAGCACAGTTCCTGATATGTGGAGGGCACCCAAAACGTATGCTGATGGATGGTTGCATGGATGGATGGACGGACAAATAAGTGACTAATTGAACTGGCATCCTCTGCCACTGGGGCTCTTTCAGTGAATTAGTACAAATGTCCCATCAACATGAAGCTAGTTGTGGGTGCTAGCCCATGGATGGTATTTGCCAGGGCCTTTGCACTTGCTATAGCTACTGCCTGTTATGCTCATCTCCCAATTCTTAACCTTCCTTGTTTCTACTTGCCATTTGGACCCCAGTTCAAGTGTATTCTCAGAAGGATCTTTCCCGATCACCCATTAATATTGCCTGCTCAGTCCTGTTTTATCCGCCACCCTGCTCTTAGTCCTCTGAATGTTCTTACAAATCTTTGTTGATTTATATGTATGTCATCTGTTTTTCCCCTTGAATGTAAGCTCCATTAAGGTAGCTAATTAGTGTCTCTTATTCACTACAGAACCCTCAGTTCATAATATGCTGCTGGTACACATTAGCACATAATCAATGACTGCTGGATGAACAGATGAATTAGCCTAGACCACCCTTCCAAGTAGCAGTCTAACCTAATTGTCCTCTTTTTTTTTTTTTTTTTTTTAATCTTCTGGCTATTGGATCATCTGGCTTTATTCTCTTGTTCCCAACATTTTCTTCAAGTCTGTCTCTGCATTACAGCAAATCTTTGGTCTTTCTTATCAATCTTAACCAATGTGAATCCACCATTCACTAATTCCCAGAACTCTACAAATGAGAGAATTTTCTCCTCTTTACCTGTCCCATTGTACTCTCACTAGTCAGGCTTATTATCTTTTCTGTTAAGAGAGGAACTAGAAATGGATAAATGGATGGATGGATGGATGGATGGATGGATGGATGGATGGATGAAAGGACAGATGGGACACACAAATAAATGAATAATCACTTTGAAAACACTTTCAAGGTTTTATGGCCATTTTTACCAGTTGAATGTTTGTTAAAGTTCTTTTGTTTTCTCTATGAAGATTTCTCCTATGCAAATTGCCATTATCCTGGGACCCCAAAACTACTCTGTTTTTACAGAGACTATACACAATTGTCTCTTCAATCACTAGTTTAATAATGGGTGGTACATGTACAGGCTGAATTTCTCACCTTAAGTTCAGAAACGATTGTTTAAGACAAATGATTCAAAGCTGGATCTGAAAAGCAAAACATCAACATAATTACTTAAAAAGCTGGATTGGAGGATGTGACATAGACATATCATGGCAGTGGGCTTTGTTCCAATCTTCTACCTCTGCATAACAACAACCCAAAAATTGATGACTTAAAAGAACAACATTTACTATATTCATGAACCTCCAACTTAGGCAGGGCTCACGGGGGGCAACTTGTCTCTGCTCCATGTGGCATCAGCTGAGGTGGCCCTAAGAAGGTTAGAGGATCCATTTTCATGATGGCTCGCTCACACAACAGGAAGATTGGTCAGCTGGGAGTCTCGGGTTCTCTGTCTATGGGCCTCCCTATGGGCTGCTTGAACTTCCTTACAACCTAGGGCTGGATTCCAAGAGATAGTATACCAAGAGAATATGAAAGAAGTGCAGAAAGTTGTGGTCAATCCACCACAGATCCCTGCCCCAGTAACAATTTGTGAGATAGAGAGACTGACCAGAGAGGAAGGAGGTGATGACTGCTATAACCCAATCAGAGGCAAGGAAATACAAGGAAACCTTTGCTAGGGTTTCTAGGACAGAGAAGAACACTGTCTCCAATGGGACTTGATAATGTAAGGATGTGAAGGGCTTACAGTAGCTTCAGATATTTTCAGCATGAGAATAAATAACCAAGAAATAAAGCCAGCACACAGTGGAATCAGAGACAAAGATGATCCTAGTGGTTTTATTCAGCTGAATCAAACTGTACTTGAAGCTGTTCCCACCCTTGGACTGTGACTTTGCGTGTCCCAGCAAATTCCCTGTTATTTACAAAACACTGAGTTAGGCCTTAATTCACTTGCCACCTCATATATCTGAAGTATGCCTTCTTATACTTTTTATGTCATTAAAAGGGTGTCACATAATGAACACCACAGATGATAATGACATATAAATACTATATTGGGAAATCTCTTTCCTATCTGGCCCATTCCAGGTACTCAGAATTGGGCACCTTTTCCTGAAGGCTTCTCCAGTTGTCCCCCTTTTAGTGAGCTTATCCCAGTGACTGCTACATCCTGTTCATTTCTTATCCACATCCCTCAGCACCTGCCCTAGCCAACGCTCATATCTTTTTTGACCTTATCACTCTTGTTCTTCCATCCTTTCATTAATTCCCTATTTACCACTCCGTTAAGCATAAAGTTCTTACTCTTGCCTTCTTGGCCTTCCATTCTACCTTCCCAGCTCTTACACCTGAGCAGATAGGGGAAAAAGTAGTAAATCTAAGGTCTTCATTCTGAAGTGCCAGGGAGAACCTGGTGTGGGCTGGGAGAAGAGTGGATTAGGCTGATGTTTGCTGGAGCAGCTGGAGTCCGAGGTGGTTAGGAGGGATGTGAGGTGATGAGGTAAGTGCTGTACGGTTATGAAGTAGGGGGCCTTGGTATGAGTCCTCTTGGACCCAAGTCCATTGTCACACGGGTCTACATACAGACTCGATCCTTTGGTCATTCCACGGGCGTTGGAAACAGTCTCTGGCTCTTGGTAAAGCTCAGGATAGGTCAGATGGGAAGGGCTGGGACAAGGATGTGTTGGTTTTCTTGTTACGCGTCACCAGTAAGGGATGGCATTGCTCAGGCATGGATGTGGAGTCTTCCTTAATACAAGCACAGTACTCGTCTTGACTGATTGCCCCTCGGCACAGCAGACATCTCTCTTCCTTCTGCATAACCTGGACTAAAGTCTCTGTCTATAATGGCCAGATGCATAGCACCAACACTTTGAATAGTGTCCCCCATAACCTTTAATTCCCACGTACCTTATAATTCATCCAGACTCTATAGCTCATTCTCTTAAAAAAAAGAAAATGCCTCTTTTCCCCCATTTCTTGACTTTGCTCTTGCCATTCCTTCTAAAGTAGATTAAAGATGGCCACCAATTCTTTGATATTTCTTCTATTAAGAGAGAAAGTCTGCCTTGAACATGGGCTGGGCTTGGTGACTTGATTGACCCATAAAATGCAGCAGAAGTGCCCTTCAGGGAAAGAAATGTTTGGTATTTCCAAGGCAAGGTAATAAGGAGCCTTGTAGCTTGTGCCTACACTTCTTAGATGTGTGCTCTTTAGGGTGCTTTTTCTTAGAACACTGTTTCTCAAATTCCAGCCACCATTTTGTCAGAAAGCCTTGTAGAGAAGATTCAGGAAAAGTAAGTGCCCAACCAGCCTCCAGCTGTTCCAGCCGTCCCTGCCAAGATACCAGATATATAAGTGAAGCCATATTAGATCTGCTAGACCAGCCCATTCACAAGCGGATACCACTGAGTGATCTCAGTCTGTGCTCCTTGGAGCAGAGGTGCACAGCTAAGCTCTCTTAAATTCCAGATGCACCAAATTAAGATGTCATCAAACGGTGACTTTTTAAGGCAGTGAGTTTTGGAAGTAATTTGAACACAGCAATAGGGCCAGAGTAAGGCCGAGTTCAGAAAAGTAAATCCTTCCTGAGAGTTGAAAAAGTTTATGGACAAGAAGTTTTCATTGAAAGTAAGTGGTGCTAGACAGGTTTAGCGAATATTTCAAGCATGTCGTCTCCTATGTATCTTGTGATTGATGATGTATAGAGATGGCAATAGAATGCTATTGGAATAGAACATTATTGGAAAGGTAGTAAGATGAAGAAACAAGGTTATCGTGTTAGAAGTCCAAGAATGACTGTGAATTGATCATGCCCTGAACAGAGAAACTATCTCCCTCCAAATGACCCCACACCTAACAGCCTGTTTCACAAAATGTAAAGAGAATCGGTGTTGTTTATTCATCCTGACAAATAACATTTTTAAATTACTTTTTATAATAAACATGATTTTTCTCTCTCAGATGTCCCTAAAAAAAGAAAGAAAAGATTATTTTTTGCTATTCTAAGCTTCTCTCTTTGACCAAACACTACCAGCTGCTTATAATTTACAATTGATTTTAAATTTTTACACATTAAAATAGAGGATAATTTTGTCATATTTGAAAGGGGACCAATGTTACATTATCTATTTCCTTTACCATTATAAACAATCAATCAAAAGAAGAAAGAGAAGGAAGAGGAAGAAGAGGAAAAGGAAAGTCAGTCAAGGTGGAAATACTTGCTTACAAATAATATTATGTAATTCTCTGCCGTTTTTCAAATCCTTGTTTAGAAAATAAACCTTAACCACTAGTTTTTCCATTCCCCGCCATTTTCAGTGAAGTACTATAGAAGTAAAACATGAGAGGCACAGAAGCAATTTTTAGCATAAAGATTGAGTACTAAACAGAAAACTTTAAACATGCTCTGAATACTATTGTAGAAATAAGATACCAGAATACAAAATATACACATGCACATACATACATACATATCCATCTCAATATGTATCATTGTTGAAATCTTTTCTTCAGTTGATCTCAACAGATCTCAAAGACTGTGTTCATTCATTCATTCATTCTTATAAACATTCATTTAACAAATGTGGATTGTCTCCTACATGCTACTCCCTATGCTGGATGCTGAGAATACCATGATGAACAAGACAGACACTGACCCAATCCTAGATCTCAAAATCTGATGGATGGACAGAAATTAAACAAATAAGTAGGCAAATATTGGTCATAATTTGTGTCATTATTTGGATGTGATTTATCAAAAAATCTGTTAACGGATAGCATAGGATGTTGTAAGAAGAGCATGAGAACTGGATGATCAAAGAAGGCTTCCTTGGGTAGAACTATAGATTTCTCTTTGAAACACGTAGTTTGGCTTCATAACAGCCAGCAATTTCAATTCATTTCTTCCTGTTTCCTTTCAGTCTTAACTAGAGAGGCTACAAATGCTAGATCTTCAGTCCAGGCCTCCCATGCAGCTAGGGATAGCCATATGACTCAATTCTAGCCAAAGAGACATTAAGGAACTTTTGCTAGAGTCCCATGGGAAATATTTTCTCTACTTTGTTAAGTTATATAGGCATCAGAGGGGAGGTCTCACTCTACTGTGGCCTCCCCTTATTTGCTGACTTTGAATTCTGTTGCCGCAGGAGATCAGCATTTTGCAGCCATGAACAAAAAAGGAAGGAGGGTTACATCAGTGGTGGCCTAGAGCCCTGATATTCTTATGCCATTGAGCCAGCAATAGACATCTTGCCATGTGCAATAATTATGTCTAAATTATTCTAGATTGGCTATTGTGTTACTTGGAGCTGAAATCATTACTAGCTTCCAGATTCTCAGAAAAAAGTGATCTTAAACTGATCCTCCTGAATTACTAAAATATCTCCCCTATGCTTCAAGCAAACCCAGCATCTTATTTCTATCTCTCTTACAGCATGTATTTCTCCACATTGTATATTGCCATTTATATAAATTTCTACCTTCCTCTCATAAGCTACTGTCCTCCAGGGCAGGAATCATGGCATAGTATTCTTGGTATCTCCAGTGCCTCAGAGAACGCCAGGCTGTACTCAGGCAGTTATAACTCAGTACATAACTGAATTAAATGAAGGGAGTAGTGATGGCACCATCATTAGAGATGGTGGTAAGTACGGTGCTGGTGCAGCTATGATAGTTTTTGGTGGCAGTGTTGCTGACGGTGGGATGGCGGTGTTGTTAGTGGGCATCAGAGTACAGTTTTGGTGACAATGGCCATAGCAGTGTTAGCACCTGTAACGATACAGGTGGTACCTCTCTTGAGTCTGGATCGGAGGAAAGGGTGCTATATTACCCAGGAGTGATATCATTTTGATAATGAGGGAAAGCTTGATAACCCTGACTTTTCATTTACACCACAGTTTGAGGCAAGAAACAGTACAGATTGGGTGAATTAGACAGCAGAGGCTATTAGAAGAAATTCTGTCAACCACATAAAAGATGGCCTCTGGAGTGTCCTTCCAGCTGATTCCCCAAATGCCTCTTTGCTCCAGGACTTACGTGGTGTTTTTTTTTTTTTTTTTTTAAAGAATTGAGCAACCAATATAAAAGAGAGATAAACAGTCACACCCAAAGTAACTTCCAGCTCCTCATTGTCTCA